TAAAATCGTTGGTAATATAATCTTAAAGCATTGATTAATTTTTTGAAATTATTAATAATGATGAAATATATTATTCATTATTAAACGTTGATAATGTCATCGCCAAACATTAATAATGTATATTCAAGTTGCTACGGAGAGAGATAGTGTGAACATTTTTATTTTGAATTTCCATTTTTAAAATCTTTAATTTTTTTTCTGAATTTCGATATTTAATTATATTTTCATTAAATATTAAATAATAAGTTCCTTATTTTCATTTAATGCCGAGTTTAAGAGCGAGAATTGTTTATATTTGTTAATGAAATTAATTATTTTTTCATATACCCCATTTATCTCTAACAACTTATTAACTAATAACTCCTTTTAACTAACGAAATTCCTATCAGCCAATAGAAATGATTTAAGCATATGCTTAAACTTATAGTCTTATACCTGGGATCGGACCTGCACAAAAGGCCGCGGGTGGTGGAGTAATAGAGCAATATTAATATTACAGGCCGAAAAAGGGTAGCCCAGTCCGAGCGAAGGTCGGGCTCAATGAAGTGAATGCTGGGCCCAATTTGACGCTTGACAGAAATGGGTAGGGGCGCTCTCCGCTCTGGTACCAAATTCGAATTATTCGAATGGACGGATTAGTGATCACTCCCCAAATGTTTCGCGCCATTGTCGAAGAGGGCTCCGTCTTCTGATCAGTGATTAGTGATTTACACCCAATGTTTGTGACAAACAGTTCCGGAGAGCACCGATTCCTCCATCATTGGCGATCAGATGAAACGGGATCGTGGTTGCGTATTCTCCAACAAGCGCGGCGCGGAATGGGCGTGAATCCAGTTGATCACAACCTGTTCGATGAATTTCCCGAATCAAACTCTCATAGTCGCGCCGCAGCCCTCTTTAGCGGACCCGATTTCCCCATCTTTTACTTGGACGCCGCGAGCGTTGGTTCCGCCGTTGAATTCCGATTCTTGGGTTTTTAACTGCTCTATTGGTGGGGTTTTTGCTGTCGCTGTTGCTTTCTTACTGTGCGGACGACCGGTGATCACGCCTCTGCTCACTACGTTTTCCGAGACCTAGAACATCCATGGGAAGCTTGAATTCGAAAAATGTAGACTACTGGTGTGTGGAGTAGTTACCAGTCTGAGGTTCTGACCCATTGCTGGTGCAGTTGCTTTTCTCGAGCATGATTTAAAGATCAGGATTCAGCAATTACACAATTGCAGCATTTACAAGATGTTGCGATGTAAACAAGTTGGATGCCTCTACATATTTCAGCTATTTGGTTCTTAGGTGTGAGGCCATTTCTTATGTGCATTGTTGAATGAGATACAATATGATGTATGTTGTTCTGGTGGGAAATGAATATCTGTAGAGAATTGGAATTTGTTTTCTGAAAAGCGATGTTAGCACAAGGTTTCTGCCAGATGTTTTGCTCCTCGAACCTAGTGCCCATGAATTCTTGAGATTGTTTACATATTGAATCGTATTTTGGTTATGCATGATTGTGAAGAAACAATATATGGGATTAATTAAAAGTTCAATTAGCTGACTATTTCTTGGCATCCTATGTACTAAGAACAGACCACATAGCTGACTATTCCTTTAATTGCTCGCTATAGCCTGCTAGTTGGTGGAAATAACTTAGCATACACATAACCTGCGTTTGGTATTCTTGGATGATCTTTAACCCTGGGAACCTTCGTATAACTTGTTGCATGTGCAGCATTGTTAGCCTTAATTTCATGATGCCTAACTCTAAACAACCCAATCTAGACCAGCAACAGTGTAGTTAACCACAGAAGTTATGACCTACGATGATTCTAAGCCTGAGCTGTGGAGCCATTGAACCTGTCATTAATGGCTCTCATTAGGTAGCTTAAAGCTGCAGTTTTTACTTTAGTTAAAGTCATGAGTAGGACGGCCCCAAGTTAATGAACTGGCCATGGCTGCATATGAGCTGCATTGCAGTTATCAAACTGCACCCTCTGAATGATGATATGTTTGAGAATCAGCAAAATGGTCTAACGTTTTGATTGATTCCTGATACCGACAACCATATCAAAACGCAAAATCGCCTAGAATTTGAACTCTGGAATCGTGTCAGATCATGTTTCCTGCTACTTTTCTATGATTTATTTAGTTGCCACTAGACAAAGGAAAGTATGGAAAAAACAATGATTTTTTTTTTGTACCTAAAAGTTTTACAGTAGTTTGTCTCTAAACCTGCAGGAACATCACTGCTGAAACAGCTGCCTGGATCTATACCCTTTCCGTTTGGCGACCGCAATGGCAGAGGTACTGTGAACATTTTGGATTAACTTTGCTTCTTTGTTTCAAGGGGGAACATTACTGCTAAAAGTTAAATTAGCTAGCAGAGGGAAGTTTCTGGCATTTGTTTGCCATTATCATAACAAACTCAATTCCTTTAAGATCTTACTATTAATAATGAGTAAAGGTGGGTGGGGTGGAGGGTTTACTTTTTTGGCATGTGGTTATCTACTGATCACACTTTAGCCGAAAGAATAACCAGACAAATTACTGTTTACAAACCCCCAGAAATTTCCTCTTTGCTCGATGAGATTGTATATCCCGCCTAATTATTAAAATTATTCAGATAATTAGCAACTGTAAGAAGCCCAAACAAATAAGCTATAGCATAGTGTAGAATTACTGGTAAGAGATTAGGCTAACCTCTTTTTTAATCACAAAACACCACCTCTTTCAGCTGTGTGACACCATCTTAACAATAACCTTAAAACCTTAATACTTTGTTTGCCACTACCATGGCTTGGTAGAACCGCTTTCTAACCAGTAACAGATGTTTTCGTTCAAATGCTTAGGGAGTTAGCCTCAGGGGCGAAGCCAGGATTCTAAATCCGGGGGGGCCAAAAATAAAATTTCCAAACATACCAATAAAATAATAGTAATAATATAAAATATATTAATATTATTTGTTATCTTAAACGTACACGTCGCTCTTTGAGATCAATAAAATCACTCAAAATATCATCTAAACTAAAAGTGTCCACTATATCACGTTCAATATAAATAATAAGACCATCGGCTAGAAAATCATCACCCATTTTGTTGCGCAGTTTGGTCTTCACTAACTTCATGGCAGAAAAAGCTCGTTCCCCACTAGCAGTAGAGACTGGAAGAGTCAAAACAAGACGAATCAGGCGATCAACAAGATCGAAGTCCTTTGACTTCCCGGACTCGGCTAAACCACGACACAGTTCAGCAACAGATGATAGATTCGCCAAAGTAGGATGTGCAAGAGCAGCACCATGAAAAATCCTCAACTGGAATGCCAATCTATCTATTTCTTTCTCAGAAAAATCCAAAGGATAATACTTTTCTGCAAGACTGCAAATAGCATTAGCATCGAAGGCTTTATATCCATTGCTAGGAAACAAATAGCACGGGAGACAATATGCAGCATCCTTTGATTCCGAGTATTCAACCCAAGAAAATTAAGAAGTCATTAACATTGTCAATCGAGAACCAAACCAATAAAACATGGACACATTTTGTAATCCAAATTCAAAGTAAACACAAAACCATCTCATTCTAATTTGAGATGCTTCCTCGTTACTCTTTCTCTCTTTATTGGATGCTTCCTCGCGTTGTATCTAGAAAAAGAAAAAGTGATGCAAATCTTCGAGGTCAGTTAAAGCAAGGTCTATTTTGTCATGAAACTTTGGTGCGAATGGTTGACATTTGAATGGGCTGCCTCGGTGAGGAATCTGTGTTGATGCTGATAGCTAGCTAATTATTCAGGAGGAGAAGAAAAAAACTATATTTTGTTTGCCAAATTGATAATTTAACTTTGGATTAGAACTCTTTTATGACCATTCTATTGAACGAAGACGACTCAGCTGTTTATTTCTGAACTTAAATTAGTATATTTTATCATTTTTTTGACTATCCATCCCATCAAATAGCAGAGGTCTGAACCAAGCCCGGGTACAAGAACAAGGTTCTGAGTGACCAACTGTTTTTTTTTTTCTTCCTTCTTTCTTTTGGGTTGGGTTGAAGTGGTCCATGCAAGAAATCTGGGGGTTGTTGTTTCTTGTTTGCTATTGACTATGGAGTAAGCAGGAAAAGTTCAGTCTCTACTTTCTCTATTCCCAGAACACTGTATTTTATAAATTTCCCCGGGAAATGTGCATTCTTTTGGCCTTAACCTTTCCCAACATGGAGTTACTTGCTTGTCGATTAATGCTGTGGTAAAGAAAAACAAACAAAAGTGGCAAACGTGAATACTTGAATACACGACTTATACCACCTGAGCCCTGAGGTTAAAAAGTTACTGCTAGTCTGGTACTTTCCCTTTCACCTTTCTGATGAAATAACCAGCAAGTCCTTTCTTCGTCTCCTACCTCATTAACAATGGCATTTCACATCACATCCAGTTCTGAAATTTAAGCCTTCCACGACGGAGAGACAGCCCTGTGCGAAAGCTCTGAAAACCATGTAGCAAGTTGCTGAGTTATGACAGCAGCCAGAGAATCTTGTTGTAATACTTGCTGAAAAATGGGATCTTGACTAATTCTGCATTCTTAAACGCGGTGGGAAAAAGAAAAAGAGAGATATTAGCATAGAAGTCAGCAGAGAACCGTCATTACCTGCTTCTCATTTAGTAACCCAGTTTAATTGTTAATGAATGAATAATAAGGCGTTATGTTCTGGTTTTCAATTTAATTTCCAGCATCCACAGTTGCATGTGCTCTCCCATCTATCTCCTTTCTTGGTTATTTAGCAGTTGCTAGCTGTCTGGTATTATTGTTGAATGAGTGCGACAGTTTAGCCCTGAAGAACTTAGGTAGGCGTTTCTATGGATGCCGGCCAAGTTTTTGTTAAGTTAGTTTGTGTTAATTTCCTTATGCGCTCCGGTTCTTCGAAACTGGCTTCAAAGGTCAGAAGCAAGAACTCTCATGGATTTACCAGATGGAACTGAACAATATACGCACCACATGAACTTAAGACTTCGCCTGGAAAATCATAACAGTCGTGTATTGAATTTGTCAGGCCGTGTGTATATTGATTGTAGGGAATATCTCATAAACAAAACAAAACAAAAAAAACTTGTGTGTGTCCTTGTGTTCTTCTTTCTTTCCTATTCACATACTGATTTACACGAACTGCATCTAACGTAATTGAAGCAAAAAACAGCTTCACATATGAAATTTCAGAACTTTGACGAAAACACATCACAACATAGCACCAAGAAAATAGCACCCAAATACAGGGGTGCCCAAAACCACCACCATCTCTATATCTTAACTTGTTTTCACCCGTTCTTACATACTCTTAAAGAAGAAACCGCAACTTCCAACTTCACACTGATTTCTCACGTTTTCATGTTACTTTGTGCAGCTGCAGAGATCTAGCAGCTCCCCGCCGGAGGGGCGTTTGAAATTTAATGAGTTCTCTGCCATGGCGAAACCCTGCCAGGCTGAAAGAGCTCTCTATATTACTTCCTTGGGTAAGAAGTACATATCTCGGCCTTTTCCTTCCTGTGGATTAGCTATGCTATGGCTACTGCTTAACTGGGGAAATTTTCAAACACCACAACCCAACCCTCTTGCTTCTGATCCTTTCATGATTCTCAGCCTTTTACAGGATGACATGAACATGCTGCAATAGAAGAAAGTAAATCCTCGTAAGTACATATTCACAGAGAGAATAAAATCAGAACAAGAACAAAGGCGATCCACATAGAAGGGCAAAAGAAGAGGAGAAAAGAAACTTACTCCCATGGCACATCTCCAACGAGCATCCAGTCTCCATCTTTGTCTTCATAAGTTGGTACGTACTCAGACCCTTTGTAGCCTTCTCTCTCAGAATAGACACCAGCAGCGAACTTGAACATGGCCTCCAATGCTTTAAGGAGCTCAGGGTAGCCTCTGTAGACCTTAAGGTCAATCTTCCTTAAATATGGTGCACCATCCATGCTTACTTTCACGTACATCCCACTAGCTTCACTTTCATTGTCCTTCTTTGCCTGCAAGCTGTTCTTCCTGTAAGATCTGATTGGTGGCCACCCAACAATCTGTGCCCTGCATAACATCCAAGAACAGATCATTAGCAAACAGGAAGGGGCAAAAAACGAGTGATAAGATTCGGAAAGTCAAGAGCTAGAAATCTAGAGTTTTGTATGTATGAATGACTTACTTAGCAGCAGGGGCAGTACTTCCTCTGTCTGCAGCCTTAAGGGCTTGGCTCTCTTCTTCATTGGTCTCAGAGGTAGGCATAGGTCGCTTGTTGTTGTTTCTAACACCACCTTGCCCTTCAGTTTCCCCTGTCCCTGGCAATCCAAGTGTGAGCTCGGTTGCCTTGAGGTTCAAGCCTTGCTCATATGCAACACCACCTTCCATTTCTTCTCAACTAACTTAGCCGTGTAAGAGTCGGAATTCAGATGGGAGAGTATGATTAAGGTTTAGGGCCTTGTTCTTCTGGGTTATGTTGTGGTTGCAGGGAGGGATGGAGAAAAGTTGTGTTTGTTTTCTTCTGGTGAGGTGAGAATGGGGAGGAGTGTATTTTATAGACTTATTAGTTGTATATATGGTGGTGGGTGGAAGAATGGAAGTGAGTCGTCGAATAATAATATGAGGAGAAAGGTTGGAGCTGGAAGAAGGGAATTTGGCTTGTGAGTGCCTCTAACTCAAACGAGGCATGAATTATGGACAAAGGCAAGCTAAAGCTGTCGGTAGCCGTAGCGGCACATTTGAGGCACCTTGTCCATGCATTCAGGGGACAAGACCGGGACAGGCACAGCCGCCCATATGGACAGAACCCACAAGAATGCTATTTATATATTCACCTTTTTCTTTCTAGAGAAAGTAGGTTCTTTTTCTTTCTTTTCTGATTTCTCCCTTCCCTAGTGGGAACGGTCCAGATGTGTTTTAAGTAGGGTTGTAAATGAGTCGAGTCGAGTTTTACTTTAGTTTGAGTTCTGCTTGTTAATAAACGAGTTGAGCTCGAACTTTGCTTGTTTATAAATGAATCGAGTCGAGTTCGAGCTGGCTTGTTTACTAAAATCTTGACTTTTATTTGGTACTTTATTTTGTATATCATGATCAGGGTTCAAGAAGGCACGCCTAGGCGCACGCCTAGGCTCAATTAGGCGCTAGGCGGTGGAGGATCGCCTTGACTTGGCAATATGCGTTGTAAAAGGTGCTGGTAGTGCTTAGTAGGTAGGAATAGCGCTTAGTTTGCGCCTAGTGGAGAGAAGGCGTGCCTGGGCGTTCCTGAGCGAGCTTAGGCGGTTAAACCCAATACTATTCGTTTTGTTCTAGAAAATCAAAAACTTGCCTCTTGCCCTAGAAAATCAGAAATACGAGAAGTAACATCTGCTGCCGCCTGCCTCCCTAGCTCTCCCCCCATCTGCTACCGCCTGCCGCCCTAGCTCTCGCCCCATTTGCTGCTCTCTGCCACCACAGGATAAAGTCATCGATCACTCTTCTCGCCTTCACACCGCTCCGCTGCTATAGTGGGAAATAAAGTCGAAACTCGCCAATTGTTGCTCCTTCCTTCTCCTCGGTACGTAGCACAAGCTTGTTGCCTCTATAAGCACCGATTAGTAGATGATTGGTCACTATTTGCTTGTATTTTTTATGTTAAGTGTTTACTGTTAAGAACTAGGCATTGCTGATTTTATATGCACTTGGATTATGTGAATTATTCCATAAAACAGGAAATATTTGAGAATTTTTCCATTTATGCTTTGAACGCCTAGGCGCGCCTAGGCTACGCCTAATCGGGAAAGGCGCAAGTCAGGAGCCGAGCGCCTGCCTTACGCCTAGCGCATTTTAGAACCTTGATCATGATACATATGATTTATTTTGTTAGCTAATCTTATATTATACTTTATTGGTATCATATATCATTTAGTTAATAAATTTTAACTAATACAAAACATATTATTTCATAGTATCAAAGCAATCGATGATACATAATTTCTTTTTAAAATAGAAAATAAGATATATTTTTGCTCACATACTCAACGTGTTAAACTTTAAATATGACAAGATATATAATTTAATAACCATATGAATTAAAATCATAAGATATAGATTGATTCGTTCATAAGTCGGTAATCGAGTTGACTCTCTAGACACATGTTGAGACATATTATGAACTCTAAACGAGTCAGCTCACGAGTTTAGCTCAACAAGCCACCTAGTCGAACTAGCTCGCGAGCTTCACGAGCTGAACAAACCTTAGCTCATGTTCAGCTCGTTTATTAATGAACCGAGTTTTTCTCAAGTCGAACGTCGAGCCGCTCGCGAGCAGCTCGACTCATTTGCCACACTAGTTTTCGGAGGGAAATCAGGACCGTTGGTTGGGTTGCTTAGGTTAGGAAAGGAAAGGTTGAACTTTGAAGGAGCAGGGGGAGAGGGAACATATCCATGTGGATCATGGGTCCCACATGGCTATTGGTTATGGGCATAGGATTGGACGTGTGGGTGTGGGAACTAACTAGAAGTTGGAACATAGAGGGCAGTGAATGTATTACTAGTGTTTTGACAATTTTGATGGGAGTACATTGCATGTGGTATACATGTGTGTGTAGTGTGGTCAGCCCATTGATTGATCCTCATCTCATGTCTGTGCAGATGCGAGTAAGATATACACCACATTTCTTGCTTTGTTTTTGTCGATTATCCCCAAAATAGGATAGCCATGTAATGTAAGGTACTCCCAGAGCTGAATCCTGAGTTTTTATTTTACTTTCATATATAGGAACCGAAAACCATGTATGTATGTATGTATTCCCAGTCCAAATGCTCTAATTAGTGGTCATTAAAGCATTTACCTTCACATGCATAATCATATTAATGAGCATCTGACCCTGAACATGAGACCCGGTGTTTAGAAGCAGAATATTTTTCAGGTTGCTCTGCTTGACAAATAATTAGCAATTAAGTAAAAATGTAACAAACCACAGTTTGTTAGCTTCCAAGTAATGAGATGTGAAATTTGAAAATTACAACATATAGGTGCTTTCCTTGTTTTCATTATTGTTAATAGTGTCTGGATTTTCTTCGTTGAGAACCATTTGTGGGCTTACTGTCTTAATCGAACTGTTTGGTGAGAACTCAGGCAGGAGATTTTGGAAACAAGCAACATGATGAGAGATTAGTTGTTCTTCCCTATATTGGCCTTAGGAGACTTTGAGTAGTTGTTATGAGGGTGGAACCCCACCATTGTCCAGTGGTCTCTAATGGGCATCGGATGCTCATTTCCAAAAAACTCCACATCCCACCACACTATCAACTCCATCAACTCACTGTCCCATACCTACAAGACCATCCTCTGTTTCTCCACCCGTGCGTCATAGAAAAGTTGCTCAATTATTATCAAACTACTACTCACATCAACCCTTGCTTGTGTTTTGTACATATCTTCAATATCCATTCACCACTTGGTAAAAATAACTAACAACTGAAAGCCTTCCCTGCTGTTGAACGCTTTTGCTCTTTCTGTTTTTTTCTTTTCCCTTTTTCATTCTGGGAATGAAATCTATTTGTGTTGCAACCATTCTATAGGGTTTTTTTAGTTGAATACCAACCATCTCTATATGTTGCTTGCATGTTTAACAATAATAGGTACAGTCCACCATAGCTTACGCGAACAATAGTTTCCTTGTGGAATTTGTATCAAACGATGCATTACATGCAACTTGGCAAAGCATCTCTAAGTTGGTTATATTGCTTAATTACCGGAGACTGATTAATCAACTGTTGTTGGCATTCGAAACTGTCCATACACTTAACCTTCCCCTGTATATGTCAGAAAATGCAATGACAAAACTTTCATAAAATAATGTGGCCGGCTTGTGTCGAAGTTTGTTATAGGAGCAGCATTTATAGGAACTATAAACTATTATTCCAGATTGCAGCTATCGAGATTGAGATACAATGCACCTCTGACACATACATCATATTTTTAGAAGCATGCACTTTGCCTTGTGTAGTTTGTTGTTTTTTCTGTGGGAAAAGCCTGAAACTGTTAACTGCTTTCTCCCTGTTTGATGTCAACTCCACCATCATGCTCATTTCTATTCTAATCGTTGCACGTCAATTACAAGCTGCTGGTCGTACTAATCAGGAGCAAATTACTATTAACTAAGACCTCAGAAACTTGAACTTGATTCATGAATGTCGAATGACATGTTAGGTAGGAACCTGTCGCAGAGGTGTCTTCCCTTGACCGTGCTAGATTACCTTGAGGCTTGATGTTTTGTCTTTATCATTCCAGCTATATATGTCCCACCAACAAGATTCATGATTACGAAATCTTGGAGGGGTTAGTTAAATCTTGTGGTGCAAGAACATTGTATGGATAACCTTGATTGCTCAAGGGAAGGGATTAGCTTTGGACTACTACTACTACTGGTGCGGCCATTTGCTTTCGTGGATTTTGGCATCTGGTCATTGAAAGAGGACACACAGACTGCACGATAGCGATATATAACAACCCAGAACGTAATTCTTAGCGGTATGGTGTGGTGTGTATCGTTTTGATCCACTTGAATCTTTTTCCAGGTTGGATATACGAAAGCTGATTGATAGGACTCATCAATGGAACAAATTTTCCTGAGTTGGCATGTCAGTCAGGTATGGCCATGGGTATGTTAATCTTTAAGGGGTTTGACTGGGATATACTGCATATATACAGGGCTGTTTTGGTAATTGCTGGTGGTATGATCGGCTTCCAGGACTAAAGAGGAATAGATGTGGCTGTGAAAGAGAGTGGAATTCCGAATTCATGCCATGCTGAGAAATCTGTAAGTTAGTTATGGTTTCCTTACCTGCTGTTTTCATGCTTGTTCGCTTTATTATTGTTCTTTTTTCCTTTGTGTCTGCCGTGCATTGTGGAGTTGACCTTCACTATTAATGGTCCAAATTGGACAAAAAAGCCAATTTTGGTTTGTTTTCTCCTTATCTTATCTAGAATGTTTTTTGTTTGGTTTTTACAAGTGATGTTAGGCTGGAGTACAATATTAATGTTTCTGATAAGTTGGGTTATTGAAAAGAATCGGTTTTAAACACATGGTATTAAAGTTTTTGTTGATAAAATCTTTCTTTACTTGGATCTTGATAACTCCCAGTACTAATAGATTGTGCTAATCACAAAATATTTCAGCTGAAAACCCAAAAAGAAATAATATAAAATTTATTATTGAGTCAAATAACTTGAGTTATCGAAATTCGGTTCACAAATAAAACATGCATATCTTATAATTGGAGCACAAACAAACCAGCACACATCTTTTTTACTTGTCCAGGAATGTTCATCAACATTTTAGTTCTTTTATCAAATGCATATATATCATCAACATAATCATTTTCTGTCCATATATTTTAGATACTTTAGAAAGAGAGCAACTTTGAAAACATCACTTTACATGCCCAATACAGCCTAGCTGTTTCTTCAATTGAGTTACAACATCGGACCTCTCCAGACTCCAGATGAGCACTAGCTGGCTGGCTGATCCCTGCCCACTTCCAATAGGAACATAGATCCAAAACTTGATATTCAGGTCTGGACAAATTAATGTTGATTATATTTTAAGAATAGAAGTAATGACAGACCAATTTAAGGTATCCATCTAAGTAGACCATTATACAAGAGGGCGGAGAACAGTAATTGTTTGTTATTAGTATTGCTAGATACGCCAAACCCTGCTTCATCTCTGAACCTGAAGCAGCTTAGCCATCCCCCAATAATTATGGCCAGAGTAGCTTTCTTTGCATTAAAATCCGTGGGGGTTGTGTCATTAATACTTCGCTTCGAGCAATCCTTTCCCAAAGAACAGGACCACCAAAACAATTTCCTTGCTGCTGCCAAAAAAGCCTCTAATTTGGCGCATATCATGATCTGTTATGTTCTGTACTGTTGTGTGCTTTAATTCTGATCCAACCTGTCCTCTTCAACTTTACATTTTCCCTTCTTTCTCTCGATAAGGAATCAATTCCGTCGTTATTAATTGCATTTTTTTTTTGTGTAACAACTTTTGTGACCTTCCAGTGTTTGGACTAATTAATTAACCAGCTGGAATGTTTGAGCAGGTTGGTTGATGAGCAAGCCCGTGGGTTACTTATGCTTCTCATAAGCTAGTTGAACAAGTGGAAAAAAGCAGGAGCTTGAGAATCTTGCTGTCATGGCGCCATGGCGGTGATATAATAAGCTAATAACCAATGGTGGGCTGTGTTTAGGGCTGGTCGGGAATTGGAAGTTAGGTTCCAAGAAGAACCCAACTGTGTTTGCTAAAGAGAGGAAGAAAGCGCGTTCCTTTTCACTTTCCATGTCCTTCATGTTTCGTTATTAACTTTTTATTTTTTATTTTTTGCCTGTTTGAACAGACAAGAAGATATTGGAGACAGAAGCCATTAAACGCTGATGGGAAGCATCATGGGCACATGCACGTGTGGAAGAGGAAGAAGAAGAAGAAGAAGAAGGCAAGAAACATCTCATCATCTAACAAACAGGAATCAGCAACAAGCAAGCATTGACGTGGAAAAGTAGTAGGGATGGGATGGGATGGGGGTGAGATAGAAAGAAGCTGCCTATTGGTCTGGTCTGGTCTGGTTTGGTTGGCAGCTGATCGTTTCAGCTTTGGCAATTATTGTTAAACATTTTTCTCTTCTTTTGGTTTGATTTTTCAGGGATGGAAATTGGTTGAAGGAAGCCACGTCTGTGCAGGCAAAGCCATTCATGGGGGATTTTTGAATGAATTGTTTGTGGGTATATATGGCTATGCATGGCTTCATTTAGTTTCAGTCATTCTTCATTGAGCTGGACCTGGAGGGGACGTATCGAGGGTCCCTCCCTTCGTTTCGTTTCCCTCTGTACAAGGAAAGGAATTGAAGGTGCTTGTTAGTTAGGGATAAGGATACGCCATAAAAGGTTGTTATGTGTAAATGTTATGTAGCAATTTGGGAACTTGTTACTAAGCTTGAATAGGGGTACCAATTTGAACCTAGGTATTACCTGGCCTAATCAGATTTGGAGTGAGGCATGTGTATTCTTACAACCTTATTTTGTTATATTCTGTACTTGTACTTTGATTTGTATATCTTTTTATTATTATTTGTATTTCTCATGTTTCTGACTTTTCTTGATTCGTATTTCATCTGAGAATACTTTAAATAAGTAGAATACTTTATCTTTTAACTATTTGTACTCAACTCGTTTATCAATTTATCTCTACTTTTCATTTATAAAGTATTTCAAAGATAAACACTTTCTTGCATTCTGGATCCTCTAGTGGTGGAGACTCTTGTGTTACGTGAAGCAATCCAGTGGTGTAATGCTCTTGGCTTCCCCCAAGTAATATTTGAGGGTGATACTAAAGTGCTCATTGATAAGATTAATGCCAACGATGCTCAGTATGGACGTGTTGGGTCCATTATTAAGGAGATTTTGAGTATGCTGACTCTGCATAGTGGCTTCCAGGTTAGGTTCGTAGGTCGGAATAGCAATAAGATAGCCCATTATGTGGCTCGAAAGACACTGTCTTTGTCTCTGGCCTCGTGTCAATTGTACGATTTTCGTGCCTGGATTGGTTTCAGGATGTAACTTGCGATCTCTTCTAAATCAATATGATTATCTTTCGTAAAAAAAAAACACTTTCTATAAATAAAATCTTAAATCGTTGCCCTGTCCTGATTTGTAATCATACATTTACTACCGACATGATTTGCACTTGGTGTGAGATGAATAGCACCATCCCGTCTCATTGCGTTGCCCTCAGTAATGTGGAGACGAAAATTAGGGGATATGTTTACCAAAAAAAAAAAAGAAATTAGGGACTATGGGCCAAATGGGTTCCGTTAGTTGTAATTTAGGGGTGTTCAAACAGTTTGGTTACCGTGGTAATCGTTTTAACTGGTACAATTTGAATAATTTGGTTTGGTTAATTTGGATGTTTGGTTTGGTTTGGTTAAAAATTTTAGCTTGTTTGGTCTGGTTTCAGACACTCCTAACCAGTCAAACCAAATTAACCAGTTAAGTAATTAGTCATATATCTAACATATATTATATACACATACTTAATACTTTGCATAATCACTCAAGAGTTAACGTTCATCCCTTTTCGACTCATAAAATATAAAGCTCAATATTGCTTATATAGTATATATTTGTATATGTAAAGTGTAGAACACAACATATGGGCGCCTAATTTAGATAAATTCCATACATTATGATGGATGAAAACTTGAAAGGAAGGTCATTTCCAGCCTATGATAATTGCTAAGAGACTAAGTCAATTTACACAAACAATTAACCAAACCGATTAAACTTTAGTTTGGTTAATTTGGTTGTTGTATTAGTTAGGACGGTTTGGTTATGATATTGTATTTCTTGGTTAATGGAATTTAGCCTTATTTGGTTTGGTTATAACCATCAGTGGCGGACCCAGAAATTTTTCATAGGGGTTTCCTCTTTTAAAAATAAATTAAATAAAAATAATTAATAATTAATAAAAATAAAATCGTAAATTTGAAAATACCTTACTCGTACAGGTTAAAAAAGTCCATGATTTGTTTTCATATTCGGAAATAATTGTAGAATACACTTGGTTTCTATAGTGTTAAAAAAATTGTCTCTATATACCCTACTAGACAATCATTCGCAAACTTATCGCATATTCGATTTGTAAACTTGTTCTCGATGTAATCCAAAGCTGAAAGACTCTTTCAACACTTGCTCTCGATGTTCTCGATTTGTAAACTTGTTCTCGATGTAACCCAAAGTTTGAAATTAGTTTAATTGTTAGGTTTTTAAATTAATTAGAGATAGAAAATGACATTTTACTATTACATTTTTCAAAATCGAACAACAAATGAGTTGTAGGTCAACGAAAATTAAGTTTATTAATAAGAATAGTGTTCAAGATTTGAATTACCTAATCTACCACTTATATTCCTATACACAAATGACAGTAGGATAATCATGTTTTCAAATTTCAGGGGTGTCCCTCACTATCAATTCTATATTTATTATTATTATTATTACTAATAGGGTAATCTTTATTATGGTTAGTAGTATTCTAGTAGAATTAGGTTTATTAGTAGGGTTTCTCTATATTCGCTATAAATATGTACTAGGCCTATTCATTAAAAATCAATAAGAAAAATATTAAGAAACCCCTCCTAAACCCTATGGTTAGTAGTATTCTAGTAGAATTAGGTTTATTAGTAGGGTTTCTCTATATTCGCTATAAATATGTATTAGGCCTATTCATTAAAAATCAATAAGAAAAATATTAAGAAACCCCTCCTAAACCCTAATCTCCCTATCCTCTCAATTCTCGATCTCAATCCCTCTAAAGGCTTAGGCCGATTCTCTATCCTTCTCTTCTCAAATCCCTAATTCTGTTCTGAATCCCTAATTCCCAATCTCACGACCAGACCCGATAGAACCCTAATAGTAGGTTCTATCATTTGGTATCAGATCCATGGTCACGAATCTGAGTTCATCACAACTCTCACCAGGAAATTGTTATCAAAACCTCTATCAAGGGATTGAACCCCCCAAGCAAGCCTAGCAAAACATGAAGCTAACATGGAAGTTCACCACAACAATATGATGGCAAGCCTCGAAAAACGTCTAGTCAAACTCGAGAAAATTATGGCCCGCCGCCGCGCGACCAACATCCATACAGAATCGGCAGATCCGTCAGAGGTGACGACAAATGACGGCTCGACAGTCATGGAGGAAGCCGCTGACTACGACACAGTGGAAAAGGAGTCCTTGACCTCGGGAGATGAGGCGGCCGATGAGGCTAAGGTGACTCAGCAACCACCACCGGTAGCGGCTGAAATCGCCGCCATAATTCGTCCAGCTGTGGTCGAGGAAGAAGACCCGGACGCCGCAGACAAGGATGAGAAACATCAGTTCTTGGCTACACCAGCAACTTGCACCCCCATTGAAACAAGCACACAAGCTGTTGGAGATAAATTCGCCGCTAGCCTCGGCGAACAGCTGCTCTCGGACGAGACAGAGAAGATGATGGCATCGGTGAGACCAGAAGGAGGAGGGACTCCGGGACAGAGGGGAAGCAGCTCGTCTCCGCGGGGAAGGAAGGAAAATGATATCGGCAGGAACCTCTACTCGCCGAGGAGGAAGAAGAAGAAGCAGAATTGGAAACCAAAGGTCGGAGACAGATTCAACCGCCAACGTGAAACTGAGCGTCGGCGGCTGTTTGCGGTGACGAAAGCCTAGGTCAACTCGTGGCAGTCGCGACGACCAGGGAAGCAGCAATCGGCGGCAGCTCACGTTGTGTTGTCGATCGACTGGGAGAAATAATTGACGGTGAGCGGCGTGGCCTCGGGATCTATTATCCATCGCTTGACGATCTGCTCAACGCCGGAGAAGGAATTAAAGTGTAACACCCCGAATTTCAGGTTTAGGTTCTATCATAATAAATGAACGGTTGGATGGACGGTGTACGAAAAACTCCAATCAAACCAAATCAGGTTAAGGATCAAGGCCACATTTATTGACGCAACCCAAATCAATCATTGCCTGGCATAAGGGTACCGTGGAGTAAACTAATAATAATAATAATTATAATTATTATTATTATTATTATTACTATTATCATTATCATTATTATTCTACCAAACCCTAGCAACCGAAGGGAAAGAAATCCCCGTTACTCCATTCTTCCCATTCCCCTAGCGGCAATCGAGAGTAGCAGTTTAATCTTCCCCCCTCCCCTTCCAGGGTATGATGGACGTGCAAGGAGTTCGGAGGAGTGGGTGTTGTCAACATCAGGTTTTGAGCGCAAGACCTGCAGGTGATAGAAGGCATTAGCATCCGCGAGACACTTCGCTTATCTTCTTCTCCATCTGAATTTCACAAAACGATTATGTGAGGCTGAAAGCTCCGGTGGATTGGTTCAAGGTGATACAAAAATGGCTTCTTCAACAGCACAAATTCTCGGCGGGATGGGGTTTGTTGGGTCTTCCCCGACCCCGGGGAGAAGACCCAGTTTCTCCTTCGCCCCAAAGACTGTATTTGTAGGCCAAAATTTGGGCGATGTTTCCAAGACGGCGGCTTTCCTGAGGTACAAGCGTGGTCCGGCGAGGAGGCACTCCACCAGACCGGTGAGGGTCGTGAGCGAGAAGGAGGTGGGGATCGATTTGGGGACGACGAACTCGGCCGTGGCGGTGATGGAAGGAGGCAAGCCGACGATCGTCACCAACGCTGAAGGGCAGAGGCGACGCCATCTGTGGTGGCGTACACCAAAAACGGCGACATGTTGGTTGGGCAGATCGCCAAACGTCAGGCCGTCGTGAACCCGGAGAACACTTTCTTCTCCGTTAAGAGGTTCATTGGCAGGAAGATGTCCGAGGTTGATGAGGAGTCGAAGCAGATTTCTTATAAAGTGGATGGATGGATCAATTATAGAGATGGATGGATGGATGGATCAATTATTCATGGGGAATTGAAGCTTGGGGTGGATGATCGTGTAAAGAGAATTTTGGAAGCACCCAGGATGGAGCTTGCTTGCGTACTCAAAGTAAACGAGGGCTCAAGGCGATCAAGCGTTGGATGATGGTTAGTTCAAGTAAATCGACTTGATAATAAGGTGAGTGTAAAGGGGGTAAATTCTACGCCTTACGATTTTGAAGTATTTGCCTTGAGTATTTTCGAGTATTGCTTTACGTGATGTATGTGCAGCATTTGATTCATGTTTGAGATTGCATGATTATGGTTGGTGATATGTGCCTTGTTTGAAAACTGACTTAAAGTGAATGGTTATTATTTACTTTGAAATTTTCCTGAGTATAAGTTAGTGTTAAAGTTCAAGAAACAAGTTCTTTTTAAAGAAGTAACTCACCTTCAAGAAGGTGAAGTCGTTTTAAGTGTTTTTAGTCACTAGCGCCAGTCTGTTGCCTTTTGAGACATTTTGAGATAGAGCAGCAGTTATACTCTTGAGACTTTTAAGATGAGCAGCAGTTATGCTCTTGAGAATCGTGGTGAAGAGCCACCACGATAAGTTTAAGATGTTAGGGGGATGAATCGTTACGACTCCCCTAACTAAGTTTAAGTTTAAGGAAAGCCTTGATGGCTTCTCATACGTATGAGTTGGCAACCGGACTAGCTAGTGGGGGATCCCAGTGTCAGTCAAGTATTTAAGTCAAGATTTGAGTTTTAAAAGAGGAGAGTAACTTCAACTCCCTCAAAGTTTAAGAGTTAAGATTTTAAGATTGGAAGTACAAACAACTTCCACTAGTTAAAGTTAAGTGTTTAAGTAGAGTACTCAAGTATTAGAATTATTAAAACGTAAGGGCGTAGACTGACCCCAACTCACTCACCAGGCCTTAGTAAGGGAATGAGCGAGAACCAGATCGGTAGCAGCTAGCTAGAGGAGCAGTTAGAGAGCAGCGAGTTCGAGAGGAAATGTTTGAGAGCAACCAGCTAGAGGAGGGCAGTGCAAGCGTCACGGAGGATGCCTAGTTAAGATTTTCAGTAGCAGCAACTACAGAGACTACCTAGTTATTTACATTTTATGATTATGAGTATAGACTGGAGAACAGATTGAGATCTAAAGTTTGAGTTTAATTTGCCCACGTGTTAGGGCTTTGCTCTGAACTACAAGTGTGTGTTTTCAGTATTTTATATATAAAAAATTTTCCCGCTGCAATTTAAGATTCACCTTTTTATTTATCAAGGGCATTTTAGTAAAAGTAGTACCCGGCCATGTTAGGGTGTTTCATTTTGGTATCAAAGCCTGTCTTCCTCTGTTCCTTGGTCTCCAGGGAATACTGGAATATCAGTCTCAGTTTATAGGCTTTTGTTTTAAAGGAAAGGAAAACGAGTCAAGGATCTTCTTTTAAGAGTCTATAGAATCTCCAGTCTACTCTAATCATATTAAGATAAATGACTTTAGTCCTAATAAAAGGTGCACCAATCGCAAAGGGATATCCCGAGGTATAAGTACGAGGATTTGAAGGAGATGAAGGAGCACTACGAGGATTTTTCTACTTAGCCACTGGCAAACGATCTAATAGGTTAAGATAAACAAATAGGAGAACTATGAATCTTCGAAGAAAGAGCTACAGTCACTAGATGTCAGTAGCTATAGTGATGTGAGGATTTCAAGGTCCTTGACCCTAAGCAGTGGCGAGAAAGCAAAGAGTCAAGAAACGAAGAGGTACCACGAGAAGTCCCTCACCTAGTTTTAGTGGTTAACGCTATTACAACACATTGAAAAGGAGCAGTGGAAAGCTTAAACTTCAAGGGGGAAGCTAGGCCAATGAAAACCCTTTAGAAGGAACAAGACAAGCAACGAGATAAATGATGTAGAGGACAAGTTATGATTTTAGTACGACCACCATTGGACGAGACGTGGAGGAAAGTGCCACCAAAGTCTAAAGCATGCCTGGTAGAAGACAATGGGGAGTCAATACATAAGAAAAGACATGGAATGTGATAGAGAATAACAGTTAGCTAGTAAATGGCAGTACGAATAGAGAACCACTTCTCAGCAGTGCGTGAGTTGGATACCAAGATAGCACCGAGTTAGAAAGAGGATATCAGAGACCCTACAAACTATCCAGATCACAAAAGGTCAAAAGGATGTTGGGACCGTTGAAAGGGTAATGCAAGAGTTCACGATGATCTGTTATGGGATTGTCCTCTCCTAAATCGAGGGAGCACCTAGCCGCCTAGGGTACATGAGGGGTGACAGAAGGAGGAACCTCTCTACTAAGTTCGAACTAGAGGGCTAAGAGCTGAAGTCTCAGAAATAGCTATAGAGTAAGTCATTAAGCCAACCGAGTATAGACAAGTAAGTGGAACATTCAATAAATGTTCTAGTGAATGGCAGAGAATTCGAGGAAGCACATGGAAGTTCCGATGAAGGATGGAGAATATGTGTAGGTGACTAGGGTTCAAGAAAATGTGTAGTGGAGTACGACGAGGAGAAGCATTGTAGTACCAATAAGGAGGAAATCATTAAGTTACCTTACCCAAGGTGCCCCACTCTGAGTGGGAGCGGCATAGTAGGATGTCATCCAAAGGAAGCAGCTGGTTAAGGACAAGTAAGACATGTTCAGTTAAGCCACTAAGAGCCCAGACTATGAGACTAAGGCCATATGCAGGCATCAATCGAGACAAATGAAGTGAATGAGGTATGTTAAAGCCTACCCAGGGAAATCCTCTATTGGAAGCTTTGAACCAAACAATAACGAGAAGATACTCAACGGAGTTTGGTGACCAAATATAGTACAAAGCAACAACGAAAGAGTAGTAAAAGTAAAGAAGCAAGGAGAACACCATTGGACGTTACAGAAACAAAACGGTGGTCGTTGAGTGGGCGATGTATGCGTCAAGGAAGATAGCTAGGACGGACCGAGGCAGGAATATAACAAAGAACAAGAAAGCATTAGGTTGATTACCAGTAGAGAACAATCAATCCATAGGAAGTCCATCAAGAAAGTAAGGTGGAATCGTGGTCATTAGGAATAGTGAAAGAGAGAACTTTATAAGTCAAGGACTCAAGGTACATTAGTAAGAAGAGAATATGACAACCTAGATGACTACATCGAGAATAAGGACATCATCTAGAACTAGCAAGGAACATCAGGAAGATGAGTCACGAGTAAAGAAGTACGATGGATATGAGTTTAGGGAACCTGTTAGAATACGCCAAGGTGAAACCAATACCGCCTATGAGGGTGAAAGGCGGCGATCTCTCGGGTGAAAATTTCTTGGATGGGGAAACTGTATGAGGAATTTCAGCCAAGTTGTAAGAATGATAGAAGAGATAGTACGAGAATTCACAAGGCAAACGATGATAAGGAAGTGTTAAGTTAGGCACCAGGAGTGAACAAATATGCAAAATGTTAGGTCATGATTATGGAAAGGAGTCATAAAGTGGATCGCAAGCTAGAGAAAGATGCAAAGGATTCCTCTAATGCATACAGGAATTAAAAGCAGTAGTGGGAGCTTTCGAGGGTAAGCAAGAAGTAACGAGGAGATGACCACTCAGTTTATGGTTAAAGGATAAGACGACGCATCAAAGAAGTAAGTAAGAGATGGAAAGTTAGGAGTTACAATGACCTAGGTGACCTATGAGGTCAACCCCATACGAGAGTTACGTTAAAAGAGTTTTACCATCTGACTAGATGGAGGATAAGCTGCCATCAGTGACCTTGGGGATGGAGAGGGGCAAACTTCTCATGTACCGAATAATGGATAGTTATCGTTCTGATATATGTACAAGGTGCAGTCTAGGTAATGCGAGGGGTTAAGAAGCCACAACAACATTGAAGCTGCATGGAATGGAGAGAAGGATTTTAGGTCATGTCATATAAGTTAAAGGAAATACAAATCCTCGAAGTGAAAAGGATTACCACAAGCGATGCTTAGGGTAATCACAGTGGACACATTTCGAGGGCGAAATTTTTATAAGTGGGGAGAAAATGTGATACCTCGACTTCGATTTAGGTTCAACAACAAGTACCGAATGAGTTGGATAAATAAATTGAGTCGGAATTTTGTCCCATCACGTCAGGGGCCAAGTTAAGGATTTAAAAAGGCAATAAGTCACTCAAAGCTACTCGGTGCTACCGAATTAGGTGAGAGTACTTGTTATGGTCAAGAGAAAATATAAGTAGTATTAGTAAACTGTACGAGACAACAAAGGACACCAGTGAAGTTCATAGAGTGAAAATAAATTCTTGAGGAAAGGAAGTACAAGGATGATATTCACAGAGGAATGAATTTTGAGAAATTTTCAAGGACGAAATATTTTTAAGGAGGAGAAAAATGTTACATCCCAACCGAGATAGTTTGATTGAATACAATCTCTCTCAGATCAAGTGGGTGTTTCTCAGTCTCTATCCTGCAATCCAATTTCGGGGACAAAATTTTTATAAGGGTGGAGGAAGTGTAACACCCCAAATTTTAGGTTCAGGTTCTATCATAATAAATGAACAGTTGGATGGACGGTGTACGAAAAACTCCAATCAAACCAAATCAGGTTAAGGATCAAGGCCTAATTTATTGACGCAACCCAAATCAATCATTGCCTGGCATAAGGATTCAACCGTGGAGTAAATTAATAATAATAATAATATATTATTATTATCATTATTATTCTACCAACCCTAGCAACCGAAGGGAAAGTAATCCCCGTTACTCCATTCTTCCATTTCCCCTAGCGGCAACCGAGAGTAGCAGTTTAACCTTCCCCCCCTCCCCTTCCAGGGTATGATGGACGTGCAAGGAGTTCGGAGGAGTGGGTCACAACATGGGTTGTCAACAACAGGTATTGAGCGCATGACCTGCAGGTGATAGAAGGTATTAGCATCCGCGAGACACTTCGCTTATCTTCTTCTCCATCTGAATTTCACAAAACGATTAGGTGAGGCTGAAAGCTCTAGTGGATTGGTTCAAGGTGATACAAAAATGGCTTCTTCAACAGCACATATTCTCGACGGGATGGGGTTTGTTGGGTCATCCCCGACACCGGCGAGAAGACCCAGTTTCTCCTTCGCCCCAAAAACTGTATTTTTGGGCCAGAATTTGGGTGATGTTTCCAAGACGGCGGCTTTGCTGAGGTACAAGCGTGGTCCGGTGGGGATCGATTTGGGGACGACAAACTCGGCCGTGGCAGCGATGGAAGGAGGCAAGCCGACGATCGTAACCAACGCCGAAGGGCAGAGGACGACGCCGTCTGTGGTGGCGTACACAAAAAACGGCGACACTTTCTTCTCCGTCAAGGGGTTCATTGACAGGAAGATGTCTGAGGTTGATGAGGATTCAAAACAGATTTCTTATAAAGTGGATGGATGGATCAATTATAGAGATGGATGGATGGATCAATTATTCATGGGGAATTGAAGCTTGAGGTGGATGATCGTGTAAAGAGAATTTTGGGAACACCCAGGATGGAGCTTGCTTGCGCACTCAAAGTAAACGAGGGCTCAAGGCGATCAACCATTGGATGATGGTTAGTTCAAGTAAATCGACTTGATAATAAGGTGAGTGTAAAGGGGGTAAATTCTACGCCTTACGATTTTCAAGTATTTGCCTTGAGTATTTTCAAGTATTGCTTTATGTGATGTATGTGCAGCATTTGATTCATATTTGAGATTGCATGATTATGGTTGGTGATATGTGCCTTGTTTGAATTATGACTTGCAGTGAATTGTTTATTTACTTTGAAATTTTCCTGAGTGTAAGTTAGTGTTAAAGTTTAAGAAACAAGTTCTTTTTAAAGAAGTAACTCACCTTCAAGAAGGTGAAGTCGTTTTAAGTGTTTTTAGTCACTAGCGCCAGTCTGTTGCCTTTTGAGACATTTTGAGATAGAGCAGTAGTTATGCTCTTGAGACTTTTAAGATGAGCAGCAGTTATGCTCTTGAGAATCGTGGTGAAGAGCCACCACGATAAGTTTAAGATGTTAGGGGGATGAATCGTTACGACTCCCCTAACTAAGTTTAAGTTTAAGGAAAGCCTTGATGGCTTCTCATACGTATGAGTTGGCAACCGGACTAGCTAGTGGGGGATCCCATTGTCAGTCCAGTATTTAAGTCAAGATTTGAGTTTTAAGAGAGGAGAGTAACTTCAACTCCCTCAAAGTTTAAGAGTTAAGATTTTAAGATTGGAAGTACAAACAACTTCCACTAGTTAAAGTTAAGTGTTTAAGTAGAGTAATCAAGTATTAGAATTATTAAAACGTAAGGGCATAGACTGACCCCAACTCACTCACCAGGCCTTAGTAAGGGAATGAGCGAGAACCAGATCGGTAGCAGCTAGCTAGAGGAGCAGTTAGAGAGAAGCGAGTTCGAGAGGAAAAGTTCAAGTGCAACCAGCTAGAGGAGGGCAGTCCAAGCGTCACAGAGGATGCCTAGTTAAGATTTTCAGTAGCAGCAACGACAGAGAATACTTAGCTATTTACATTTTATGATTATGAGTATAGACTGGAGAGCAGATTGAGATTTAAAGTTTGTGTTTAATTTGTCCAAGTGTTAGGGCTTTGCTCTGAACTACAAGTGTGTGTTTTCAGTATTTTATTTATAAAAAATTTTCCCGCTGCAATTTAAGATTTGAGCATTTTATTTATCACGAGCATTTTAGTAAAAGTAGTACCCGGCTGGGTTAGGATGTTTCAATTGAAGAAGCTCTATGCCGGCGTTGACCGTGGAAGAGAAGCAGAGACGGAGAGGGAGACGACGGTAATCGTTGGGGAGGCCTCGCCAGCCGTCGAGGCGGAGAAGGGTTCTTCGCGTAGAAAAAAGAAGTATGGAGCGGGCAGAGGTGACGGTTGTCCGCTGGAGCAGTGTTTTGAGAGGGCAGAGTCGCGCGAGGAGATGCTGCCTGGGAGAGGAGCAACGGCGGAGATGGGAGGCGAGCTCGGGGAGACGGAGCTGTGGACGAGGGTGGCCGGGTCGAGCTTGTCTCTATGCCGCCTGAGGAACCCATCGCCGACGTAGGAAGTACCGGCAATGAAGGGGAAGACGAAGCTGGCGACTGAGTGGCCGAAAAAGGAGATGTCGGCGATCGAAGAGGAGGTCTCCATCTTCCTCTCGTTCGTGAACCCTAGGCAAGAGGCTGTCACTTTTGGCCCGAGTCAGCAGAGTGGGCCAATTTGGGTTGCTTTGCTAGTTGGGCCGAGTCTACTGCACCACGGGGAGGAAGTGGGTCGCGCAGGCGTGAAACACATGCCGACTTTTGTTAGGCTCGTCTGGGGCGAGTTGCGCCAGTGGAATGGGCCGAAGAATGATCTCATTGGGCCGCATCTGCAAGGAGCAATTGAGCCCATTACATATTATGTTATGGTGAAGGTGGACTTGAAGGAAGAGGAGCTGAAGGGTTTAGCTGGTGGGCTTTCAAGAAATGTTGGCCCAAAAGCACGTGGAGAAGGGATACTGCAATTGAATTGGCTAAACCCAATAAACAGTTTTGAGGGCCTTGATGAGTTGGTATTCAAGGATAAGTTCTTGTGCAATAAAGTACCCTTGAATTGTTTAAGTGACTATGATGCCAACAAAAGAGGAGTTGTTGGAGTTCAAAATTATCGAAGAAACAATTAGGGAGCCCATGGAAGTGAAATCCGAAGAATTACATCAACACGAGAAGGTCGGTGGAAGAAGGCCAATTCAAAAGATGGAGCATGATTGGAAGAAAAGGAAGCGTAAAGTGGAGGAGACAAGGCGCGATCTACATGGGAGATAGGATGAAGAAATGGGTCGAGTCGGTCAACCTTGAGGACAAGGTTGGTTTGAAGGGGGAGGAGATGATGGAGACCAACTTCGTTAGGGTTTCTATATTTATTATTATTTTTACTAATAGGGTAATTCTTATTATGGTTAGTAGTATTCTAGTAGAATTAGGTTTATTAGTAGGGTTTCCGTATATTCGCTATAAATATGTATTAGGCCTATTCATTAAGAATCAATAAGAAGAATATTAAGAAAATCCTCATAAACCCTAATCTCCCTATCCTCTCAATTCTCGATCTCAATCCCTCTAAAGGCCTAGGCCGATTCTCTATCCTTCTCTTCTCAAATCCCTTATTCTGTTATGAATCCCTAATTCTCAATCTCACGACCAGACCCGATAGAACCCTAATACCAGGTTCTATCATAATAGAACAAGTCATTTAAACCTTGTCCCTAGCTATCAAGCATGGAGGGGAATGCATTAGGTGGGTTCAGATAATACAACAGAAACTTGATCTAGTTATTGATTTTGTTTGGATTAGTATGAGATAGAATGAGTCATTTATCGATTTCAGGTATGTGTTGATTTTCTAATGAAATATCAGCAAACTGGCCAAGAAAAAAATAATGGAGATGGAGGGAGTATAATTATGAAGTTATTTATGTCAAATTTCAATGACAAATATCTTAAGAGTTGAATTTTAGTGACTGGTTTGCTAGGTACCCCTAAAATTTATAAAGGTTGTATAATCGACCTCAGGTAAACACTTGGTATAGGGAGCAATAGTGCTTGATTGAGAAGACTTTGTTGTTAATGTTATCGACGCTATTAAAGTGAACTAAAACAATAGCCTTAAATGGGGCGAGGAACTAGCAACTGTATGATGTAAGTTGTTGATGCATGGCAAAACATCCATTTTACTTTAATTTGATTACAATCTCAAGTTGATGATATGAAAAAGCAAAGAGTTTTTTCCTTGTTTCTAATTGTTATTATCTTATTTTTTTAATATAACTAGTTCAAACTTATTCGAGTAGTAATTAACAGAATTTATATGTATAAGCGACGTTGAATCTAAAATTTAACCTCATCATTAGGTGAATAATATTATTGTCAAATTACAAGTTCTTTGAGATCATAGAAGGGAAGTGGCTGAAAACTAGAGCATGAGATTGAGATGTATCCTTGTGATTTTGAGGATAGCTAGATAATATGGATAGCCTTCTTTTTCAAGTATCTACTTTCTTGATTTATAACTTTCATGTGAAGAAGAGTCAAGAGAGTGATGTAGTGAGCTGTAAGAGAAAGATTAAGAATGAGACAATGAAGGCAAAGTGAGACCACAAAGCAATAATAAAGAGGGGAATAATTATAAAGTTGGATCAAAGGATTACTTACTAGGGGGAGTTGTTAGGTAGGAGAAGGAATGTCGGCCAAAATAGCCCTTTTTCTCCTCTTTAGCCACTTTCAACTACATCATTGTATCCAATAAGTCGAGTTGTAAATTAAAAGTTGAAGCCTCCTATATTCGTTAAGAGATAAAATTTGGAGTGCACAAATAGGGTGAATTTCACCAAGAAAGATTAGAGTTTAAATCTCTAAATTTATTGATGACAAAAGGTTGAAATGTCATTTAAATATTCCGTTTTCAAAAACAAAAATGTTATCCCCTTCTCCTTAATCTCTTAATGGTTATGTATCTCTTAACGGTTATGTCACATAGATAAATTACGAAAAGTGGGAAGTTGGGCAACATTCTATAAAATCATCAAATTTATTTATATATTCCATGAGATAGCATACAAGAGAAAAGTTAGAACAAAAAAAAAATACACATACTAGATCTAAGAACTATTTCCAAAGAACACACTAGTGAAAATGGTCTACAAAATCAAAGGAAACTAACTATAGAGGAAACAACAACAGGGCTATAGCGCCACTTATAAGCAATACAATTCGCAACTTGTAGAATCTCTCTAAAGAGTATAAATAAAGAACTTGAAGAAACCAACTGGCTACACTCTCGGAGCGGGGGGTCCTCCTAGTGAATCTCCCACACACCTAGTCGAAGTTGATGAATCACCACATCAAAATCTCCTTCCAGGATAACGCGAGGAAGACTTTGAGAGACAATGACTGAGAGGGCGTCCCTAGCATCAAGTTTCTCCACAACGTAAGTATTTGACATCCCAGTCTAGTGATATCCAACTGCTAGAAGAACATGGATGATTTGGGTGTCAGATGCATTAATTAGTGAGTTCATCTTTGTATTATCTTCTTCCTATATGGAGTAGAGATATCAATTCTCTATTCATTTTGTCATATTCTCTGCACCAAATGCAAGGATAAAGTTTGGAGATTGCAGAAAGGATCATAATTTGGGACCATCCTCCATTGATAAGGACTTGGAAAAAAATTGACACCATCGGGAGCCTTTGCGCAGTTTCCTCTGGGTCCTGCGTGGAGTTTTCAACATTTGCATCTCTAGAATTGGTGCCTTAATTTACTACTTAAGGAGCAGCCCTGCCCTTAGGTCCCGAATCCTGATAATGATACTTGTAGACATTAATTGTTGGAATGTGAAGCATCATTTCGTCATGCTCATCACTACCCAAACCAATGATCGCAAGCATGCTACAACTATAAGCTTGGTAGCGAGAGAAATCGTTCTTGATATTATATATTATTCTTTTATCTCAAAATATCTAACATCTCGAGAGTTAATTTATTCTGAAAACTCAAATTTATTGAAAACCATAAATAATAGACCTTATATAATTTATGTGTGTTACATATAATTTTTTTTGGTTATAAGGGTGATATATAGCTTTGTTTATACAGTTATGTGTCAAATAATAGACCTCCTACAAATTCAAGACCAATGATAATACTACAGGACCAAATCTTTATTTACTACTTAATTATGTAAGTTGTAAAACCAAGTTCACCCTATACGATCAGTATATGAAGTCATGCTATAAATTATAATGATGTGTGCTCGCCTGATTAAGTAAACACTAAATTTCATAACAAAGTCATAAATATAAGTAGTAATCACATGCATTAATTTTTTGTTTCAAAACTAGCATTGACCTATTCTTGACCGTCATTTTTAAAATTGTGCGTATAATTGGCTCATAGTTTTACTATAATTACCCTAATACATATTACTTAACCGTTCTTTGTCAAATAAAGAAAAAATAACAATACAAACTCATCCTAACAATCCTACCTCATCCTTTCACGACGTTTAGCAATTCCTTTTAACAATAGAAAAAAAATGGAAGATAAAGATGTGGATTGTCACAATAAGTCGATAACAATTTCTAAAGCGATTGTCACCCTAAATCATTTCATTGTCATTCTTCCTCATTTAATTTCATTCCTTAAAGTCCAAGCTAGCTAGCTAGCTCCTTCATTAATTTGACGGCAAAAGCATTATCCTCCCTCCCCAAACAGGGACCAAAGAGAAGTCAATAGATTTTCCAAGGAGTCTGGTAGCTTATAATTAAAGATGGAACAATCAAAACATAATCTTCTGTGTTTAATTGTTTCAATAGTGCCACGTCCTCCATAATCCTGCTTAAGTAATTGGTTAACTAATTGCAGTAGTGTAGAAACACAACAGAAGAAGAAGACACAAAAATCTTCCAATGTTCAGGAACATGGCCAATGAGAGACCTCCACACTCGAGACTCGAAAACAAGGTGAAGGAATAAACAAAGTGGGGGAGAAGAAGAAAGTCGATGATCAGTACGATCTTCATCCCTTTCCCCATGAAATTTGGTTGATTTTCTTGTTGCATATATATAAGTCTAACCTCACACCCTTTTCACTTTGTGGTGGTGACCTTTCTTGGTTGTCAGCCACTACGATGGATTTGGTGTATCCTTCTCGATATCAGATTATGATCACATACTTACCATTGATCCAGTCGACTTTTTCTTGCACTTGTATTCTTTCAGTCAGATTAAGCAATTTTTTCCATGAGATTAGATATCATAAATGTGAAAAAGGAGATTGTATAAATCCCAATCTTTGTAGGATCATAAACATGAGGATTAAAACCATATATATAAAGGTTTGAAATTTATAAAAATTTTATATATGTGGCATGTTTTGTTTTGGAGACATTGTGAGCATCTAGCCTTTTCATAACCGATGGAGTAATAATTGACTAAATGTTGTCGAAAAGTTGTGGGCTCTCCAAGGTTGGCCTTGGACGCAGATTTTCAACAGGTGATCAATGGTGTGAAGCCGAGATGCTAGTCTCCTCTAGGGAGTCCTACTTGTGTTCTGCAAGTCTCTAATACAGCTTTTCAGATGCTGAGTGAACTAGGGGACAAAGAGGATGTTGGGATTAAGGTAGCTCCTGTTAAGGGTGGTAAGAAGAAAGGGTGTAAGCCCTCCTCCCCACCATGAATATAATTTTCTATAATGTTAGGGGGTTCAATAAACCCTCTAAGAGAAGGGACTTTATGCCAGTCCTAGGTAACCTAAAAGTAGATGTGGTGGCAGTTTTAGAGACACGGGTAAGGAAGAGTAAAGTAGAAAAGGTCCTTGCAGATTGTTTTGTGGGATGGGTGACAGGCTAAAAAACAACACCAAACTGCGACCAAGTGTAATCGTAGTCCGGAAATGTAGTAAAAGGCAAGCTCTAATTGTCAACCGGGGGTCTAGATCTACTGCCTACTCCGTGTATATCTGTTATCTAGCAAACTAAGTTCAGTGATTGTTGATTTAAGTAAAAGCAGTAAGAAAATAGGAATTGGTTCGGTTTTCTAAAGCAAAGGAAGAGTTACT